AATTATATCACAATAATTTGCCAATTCACTCCACTTAGTCAGTGAGAGAATTTCTGAGCTTTAAATAATTGGCCAAGAGTAAGTTCTACTAAACCTCAGGAAGAGCATTTGGTTCCAAGGTAGCAATTCAAAGAGCAGCGGCACCACCGTTCCTTAGTGGTGATAGTCAACATTTCATCAGCCTCTACCAGTTCTCAGAATACAATCAGTTCTTTTTTAAAAGGAAAAACAAGTTTCTATGATTAAATGTAGTTGGGAAATAAACAAAGGAAAATAAGATTCTTTACTGTGAAACCTCGCAGAGCCTTTTGCCTGCAGACAACCCTTATGAATCTCCACATGGCACGTACCATGTCCCAGGTTTATTTGGCTACAGACACTTTTTCCATGAAGCATTTCATGAGAATAGTGTCTGTAAAATTCATTAACAGCACAGTTCTCCAAACAACTTGGGGAACTATTCTATGGTCCTCTACAGTTTAAAAGATTATCAGGGCTAAATAGAAATGCCAAGTGTACTTGTTAATAATGTGGAATTTTTTCAATAAATGGAATTACACATATGTTGATATATATATATATACAATTTGCTATGTATGCTATTTTGTTGTATTCACAGCAAGTTTCAAAACTTCATATGTCAAATTTGCTGAAGGTGTTAACATCATAGATATTTTTATGCTTAAGAATGTCAAATTTTGTGCCAAAAAAAAAAAGAGCATTTGTGGGAAGTTTTAATTCATTATTTTATTTTGAAGAAAAGTGCTACTGAAAGTTATAGTATACTTCAGGAAGCTTATGGAGAACATGCTCCATCTCAAGATACTTGTGAACGCTGGTTTAAATGCTTTAAAAGTGATGATTTCTATGTGAAAAATAAAGAACGTCCAGGTCAACAGAAAAAGTTTGAAGACCAACAATTACAAACATTATTGGATGAAGATGTGTGTCAAACTCAAAAACAACTTGTAGAAAGATTAAACATTGTTCAGCAAACAATTTCCATCATTTACAAGCAATGGGAAAGATTTAAAGGAAGGAAAATGGGAGCCACATCAACTGAACGAAAGACAAATGGAAAACCGAAAAGTCACCAGTAAAATGTTGCTTCAACAGCACAAAAAAAAAAAAAAAAAAAAAAAAAAAAAAAAAAAAAAAAGGTTTTATTTGTATCTAATTGTTATTTGGCAATGAAAAGTGGATTTATTTTGAGAATCCCAAATGCACAAAATCATGGATTGATCCAGGTCAACCATCAACAATGACTGCGAGGCCAAATTACTTCAGAAAGAAGACAATACTCTGCGCCTGGTAGGATCAGGAAGGTGTGGTGTATTATGAGCTTCTAAAACCAGGGGAAACCATTAACTGATCACTACCAATAACAAATAATCAATTTGAACCACACTTTGATTGTAAAATGACCAGAATGAGCCAGAAGATATGGCAAAGTAATTTTGCTTCCTGATAACGCACCATCACATACTTCAAAACCAGTTAAAGACACGTTAAAATATCTTGCCTGGGAAGTATTAACCTACCCACTGTATTCACCCAACCTTGCTCCTTTGGATTACCACTTGTTCTGATCGATGGCACAGGCACTTTCTGAGCAGCACTTCAAAAGTACAAAGAAGTGGAAAATTGGGTCGCTGAATGGTTTGCCTCAAAACAAGAAAAGTTCTACTGGGACATTATCCACAAATTACCTGAAAAGTGGGGGAAATGTGTAGCTAGTGATGGACATTACTTTGAATAAAGCACTTTTGATGTTTCTCTTGAAATTATCATGTTTTCTTTGATTATAAAATCTGCATTATTAACTCGTACATCTGTAGTTTTCAAACCTCAATTAATGTGATTTTTTTAACCTACCACAGTGGAAATGCCCTACTGCTCTCTGTGATCAAATGAGTATCAGGAAGAAATGCTTTGGGGTGGAAAGTGAAGGTGTGGGAGAGCAGAGGGGACTGGGCAGCAGGAGATAGAAGGGAAGACTATTACCAAGAAGAGCCTGGCATGGGCTGTTCATGAATCAGCAGGTAGAGGGGCCCAGTATGAAACTGGAAAGGGCCAGACCATTCAGGCCATGATGATCAAGTTAAGAGTTTTGACCTTTTTATTAAAAACAATGAAATGCCAATAGGGAATTTTTAAGTAGGGAGCAACAAGATTAGCCTTTCATTGTATAACATCTTTACAGTGTAGAGAATGTATCAGGGTATCAGGAATGGGTGTAGGGAGGGCTGACCTGGTGCAGACAGGAGGTGAAGGCAGCCTGGTGTTGGCTCTAGAAAGAACTGAGAGAGTCTAGGAGGTTTTAGGGCTCCTTGGTAGCTGAATGCAGGTAAGGGGAAGAAGAGGAGGGTACCAAATGATTCCCCAGTTTCTGTCCAGAATAACTTCAGGGTGCAGTAATACCATGTAAAGAGCTACCAAATATTTAAAAAGAAGAAAGGTATGTCCAAGAGTAAATGCTGAGTAGGCAGCTGGAGGTTTGCTAAATATTCTGGAGAAGAGATTGCCTTTTATTTCCCATAAGATGCCAAGATAAAGTTCAAATGAATTAAACATTTGCATGCACAAAATTAGCTCATGCTCAGCCAATTCAGTGGTTGGACTTTGACCTATAAAGCAGGAGGTCATGGTTTGATTTCCGATCAGGATATGTGCCCTGGTTATGAGCTCAATCTCCAGTAAAGGACATGCATGAGGCAGCTGATTAATGATTCTCTCTCATCACTATGTTTCTATCTTTCTCTCCCTCTCCCTTCCACTCTGAAATCAATAAGAAATATATATTTTAAATTAACTCATAAAAATTAACTCATGAGTGATTGGAATAATATAGGAGAATAATTATAAAATCTTAATACATAGAATCTTTCCAGCATAAAAGAAGAAAAATATAAAGATTTAATTATGTAAATTTAAATATGCTATATAAGAAAAACAAATACTTATATACATTTAAAAGGCAGTGGGAAAATATTTGTAATCTATATATAAAATGTAATATACTTACTATGAAGGACTATTTCAAATCAAGAATAAAGATTAGCATAAATAGGAAGTTCATAAAAGAAGAAACAAAAACAACCACAAATGTATTTTTAAAATAGGAATAAAAAACATACAAGTTCAAACAACACTTAAATGGGTTTTTGCCATCAGAATAACATTCCTTAGTACTGGTATGAAGATGAAGAAATAGATGCTGTGCATTCTTAATAGGAGAGAATACTGTTACAACACTTTTTCCTGGAGAACAATATGAAAATATTAAGTATCCTCCTGGACCCTGTATCCCATTCCTGGGGCATTAGCTCAAGGAATAATCAAATAAGTACACAAAGATATACATATAAGAATATTCATTATAATATTATATATAATAGAGAAAAGTTCTCAAAAATAGTTGCCTACCCAAAAGCTGAATTGACAATGGGTTAAAAAAAACACACACAAAAAAAACAAACAACAAAAAGAAAACATGGTATGTCATATCATGGACTAAAAGATAACCAATAAAAATGATAAAACAGAAACACATTAATGATATATATTTTTAAATGAGAAGGAGGTGACATAATATAATATGAGCATTGTAATTTCTTTCAAATATGTGTGCATATTGTATCAAGATATTACCAACAGTTATCTCCTAGCTCCTAGCAATGCAGTGTTAAATAGCGGGGTGTTTTTTCCCCCCTCTAACACAGTATTTACTAATTTGTCTTCCATACTTTTTATTATTTGTGGGATAAAAATACCTGGAAAAAATGGGATGCTTCCCCAATATTATTTTTACACCCACTGATGACTATAACTACTTGTGTGAGTTAAGCCAGTCTGCAAAACAAAACCATCTATGAGTGATTTTTCTGGAGTGACCTTACTACTCAGACCCAGGAAAACAAAAAGGTATCAGAAGGTATCAGAAGTTGCTTCTCTCACATCTTGACTGTTGACATCTTCCCCAGAAGCACATCTAAGACTCCCCAAGGATGGACCCAGGACCCAGGTGCTGGGAAATTCTCCAGGAGAGAGGTGAGCATTTGGGGTGCTCTCCAGCCAACGAGGACTTGGTTTCCTGGAGCTTAAATACCCATCTGCTTCTACAGGCTCCTTCCAGGTCAATCTTTTCTATTTTTCAAACCAGAGTGACTCCGGGTGAGCAAAGCTCTGAAAACCTAGACTTGCCCTGCCCTCTACATTCCAGGACTCTTGGGCTCTCCTGGAAAAGCAAAGGATGGAATCTCTTCAACCCACAAGTCCATGGTTCCTTTTGAGAAGACGATGAAGACTTGAGAGTCTTCAAGCAGATACACATACATTCAACATTTCACATCTGTTTCAGGTTCACAAACTCCCAGGAGCCCATAAGGAATGATTTAGAAGGAGCCCAGGTTAGGGTGGATCCCCTAGTCTAGAAACAACTCCCTCCACTCATAGCCTAGTGGCCACCGTGGCTCCTTTAGAACCTGCCCTTGTCCTCCTCACCTGCTTCCCCCAGGGCCACCTTCTCTCCTCACTCTCCCCACCCCCAATAAGCATCCTTACCTTCACTAACAGTCAATGTGGAACCTGGAGTGTCCAGTACTTTCCACATAACCCCCGTCTCTTTTCATTTTTCAAAACCCACTCCTCTGTCTTTCAATAAAAATACAAGTTGTGCTGAATGCAATTACTACAGAGATCCTTCCTTCCCTTCTTCCACTAATACAAATCTTTCAGATGTTAGCATAACAGCTCATGTCTTGTGTTTTACAGCAGCATCTCTGAATTGTACAGCACTGTTAGTCTCAGCAAGCCTATGTACAAATACTGGTTTCGGAAGAGCCTCATTTAATGACAAGCAGTGGGTTATTTTTAAGCAGACCTTCATCTAAATGCAATGTCCACTCACCTTTTGCAGAGAGGCTCCTGATTTTTTTTTAACAGTGGTAAGCTCAGAAATTTTGTGGTAAATTTGAAAACCCAGTTCCTGGGTCACTTGCCTGTAAATCCTGGTGTGCAGACACACGTGCCATTTAGGCCTTCACTGTCACAGGTGCCTCCGTTCAGACAGCTGACATTAGCACAGGGATCCTTGTAGGATTCACAATGAATTCCTGTGGAGATAGACACACAAAAAGGGTGACTGGTTAAGGAATCTTCAGCTCCCATGGCCTTTGAGAGCAAAGTGTTTGAACATCCTGGAATGGTATGAAGGCAGATCCCTAGTGGCACTCATGTGTGTATGTGTGCGCGCACATGCCCAGTCTTGACTTTTGGTTGTTGTAAAGACATATTTTATGAGAAAATAACAAATGCAATCCCTTCTCAGAGATCCTACCGCAAGTCTTTCATCTGGACTTTCTCTGAGCACATATCCCCAAGCCTGGGGACCAGAAAAGTAAGGGCCTAAAAGTTCAAATTTATCAGGGACCAATGCTTTCTGTATCTCCAAAAGAAACAGAAAATAGCCAGGCAGCCTCCTTATGGGAAAGAGTTGGATCCAGTTATATAAGTGAGCCTCAGTAAGTGATTTGAGAAATGGCAGGAGAGGGAGCCCCCTGGTATTCAGATGGCAAAGACCTCATTAGTTCCCCATGCCCTAAAGTTAACATGTCTGCACATACTACATAGTGCTTTCCACCAGATTTGATCCTAACAACAACACTATGAGAGGAATGCTTTCATTCAGCCATTGTAGGTGAGGAAACTGAGGAAAGAATGCAGGTCCTGAGGCTGCAGGGAAGAAAGCTGGACCCTGAAACCACAGGCAGTCTGCATCTGAGTCTGTGCTTGCAAAGTAGTTATCTTAGAGTGAACGCACACTGGCCTGCAAACACACAAAATTCTATGTAACTCAGCGCCCATTTAACAAAAGAGAAGCATTTTAAAAATCATAGTGAAAACAATGGCTTCCCATTGATATTTAAAAAGGCCTATGTGTGTGTGTATGCATACAAATACCCGAAGTGGGACTGAGAAGGAAATGAATTCCTTTGATTTTCATGTTATGTGTTTCTATAGTGTTGGAATAACTTTATAATGACTACCTGTCCTATATAATAAAGAGCTAATATGCTAATTAGACCAGACAGCAGAACGACCTTTCAGAATGACCAATGGGTGGGGCTTTGGGGACATGAGGCAGCTGGACTGCCAGGGCCAAGCCCCTTGCATGAATTTCATGCATCAGGCCACAAGTTGTTTTATAATTTGATAAAAAACTAAAAATGTGGCTTTTCCTAAGGCAGGATTTCTGCTGTTGCAGAAATGTGGAGAGCCAAGATGCAGGCCTAGCTCCCTCTCTCCCATTCCTCGTTCTCTGGGGAGGAAGATAAGTTACATTCTACTCTGTATAAGAATCTATACAATGATATGCTCATCCTTCCCGGCAGCATCATGAAGAACAAGCATAACGCAAACAGAGACTGAATCGTATTTACATAATTTGCTATCTACTCATTACTTAGCTCAGATTACAAAAAGGCTGCCACACCCCATGACTCATCATTTAGTCACTGAAATTACTCTTCTTGGGATTCTTCTCTCATCTCTTTTTCATTGCCTTAAGAAGTTAGGGCTCAAGAAAGAGGAAAAAATATAAGAGAAAATAGAATGAGAACTGCCTCTCTGTATTCACATAAATGACTTGCTTGAGCCTGGTAAGGCACTTTAGAATGGATGGCTTTTCATTTCTTTTTATCTGTTGCCCTTCATATCCAACCCATGAACAATAGTTTGCCCACTGTGCCCTAACCCGTTTGGCTCAGTGGATAGAGAGTCGGCCTGAGGACTGAAAGGTCCCAGGTTTGACTCCGGTCAAGGGCATGTATCTGGGTTGCAGGCACATCCCCAGTAGGAGATGTGCAAGAGGCAGCTGATGGAATGTTCTCTCTCATCAATGTTTCTAACTTTCTATCCCTCTCCTATCCTCTCTGTAAAAAATCAATAAAATATATATTTTTAAAAAGTTTGCCAGATGTTTTCCTAAAGTGCCTTCCAGATCCTTGCTTTATTATGCTCCCTGCAACCACCACCCCCAACCCCAAGGCCCTGTGCTCAGTGGGAAATAGCCTCTCTGAGCCCTGTCCTAGTTCCTTGCCCAGCTCTAGTGAGTTGTGTGAGCCTGAGACTTCCAGCATCTTTAACAAACCCAGGAGATGCATGTGAATATACAAACTCAGAATAATTTAAAGATAAAATTACTTATTAGCATAAAGTTAGTGATTCTTTGAGAGGGGTTAGAAAAGTGAAAGAGAGAGAGAGAGAGAGAGAGAGAGAGAGAGAGAGAGAGAGAGAGAGACTACTTTGCCTGCCTAAAACTCTCTATTTCTTTTTCTTTTTTTTATTGCCTAAAATTTTACATATGTCTTCTTCCCCATTTGACACCCCCCCCCCCCCCCCAGCCATTCCCACCCTGGCAAGTCCCCACCACCCCTGTGTCCATTAGATATGCTAATATACATGCATACATAAAACTCTCTATTTCTATTCCTCACTGATTCCCAAGTAATGCAAGCTCAACTGAAAGATCGAAATCCAAAAGGGCCCATTCTGTTTCCAAGTGTTTATCAAAAAACAAGGATTCACATATTTACATGTTCCCTTGAGGCTGGCCAATGGGGAACCAGCTGACAAATAAGACTTTCAATTATAATGGGAAATGGGTCTAAAGCCTAGAAACATTTCCATGAGCAATCAAGGATGATCTTTCCTGGGTTTCTAGTGGTAGTCAGATAATCTCACCTGCATGATATTAACATAAATAACACATTAACATACAAATTACCACATTTTCCAAATAAGGCTGAAGAGCAAAATCTAGGCAAAATATTTAAACATCTTAGTCTTAAAAGACTTCAATATTGCAGATTTGATTAAAACACGCAAAATAATAAGCACTTTCAATCTTTTGTGTGTTTTTGGCAATAATTCTATCCCTTGTTATGTCTCTTTTTCAAGAGATAAGATATTGGGTCACTTGTGACCCAGTGAGAGTTTTCTGGCAGCAAGATGGAACAAAAGCCAATCTTTACAGAAACACGATGACTCCGAAGCAAGATGGTCTTCAAGTCCCCAGTGAGCACTCTGGTTACTCACATTTCTATACTCTGAGCCTTGCTAATCCCTATATAAAAATATTTGTCATATTGCACAGCGTGGCGATTAGAGCTATGAGCTGGAAATCTTAAGAAGAGAGATAAACAGTCATGAATACTGCTGTGCTCAGATGGCCTCCACTCCTGCCCTCCTCCAGGGGCCACAGGTCTCGTTTCCTAAGCTCATCATTCCCTAGGGGTCCAGGTGCATGTACAACATGGAGTGTTGGGCATCGTATGTCCTCTGACTAGAACGCCCTCCTCCATCTTTTTTCCCAAGCTGGTCATCACCTGGCACATCCTCGCTGTCCAAGGCCAAACCCCCTTTGTCCCGAAAGCTGAGCCTGATTCTCCCAAGACAGAGGCTCATTCTCCCACCATCGTGCATTGAGAGCATGCTAAGTTCACGCCATTATAGAGTTTAGTGAGTTAAACCATGGCTTATCTGTTATTCTGTCTGATCCTGCCTTCCTCTCTCCCCTCTTCCACCCCAAAAAAAACTCTGAAGTCCTTTAAAGCATATCTTAATGCATGGAAGAAATAAGGGTATACCACCAGAACCCTGTCCTTTCTGGAGGGGCGACTGTCCGTGTACTTTGGCTAATACACAGGTAGGATTGCCAGAGGAGTGAGAAGCGATTCCAAATCTGCCTCAAAAACACCCTATTTTTGTCAGGAAAAACCAGGTCCACACTTCAAACTGAGTCTGTGGAATGACACATGCATCAGCCATTGGCAAGGGATGCAGCACGCACTATTACGAAACTTATGTTTAGTCTCAAGCAAAAATAAACTGTAATTCAGTCAAAACTAATAAAAATTCATGCTTTTCATATTAAGGAATAGAGAGGCAATGTTTCTGAAAAGATCTCTACTCCAACAAGGTTTTTCATGGAAGTTAATTTTAGAATTAAAGTGAACAAAAATTCAAAGAGTCATATACCAATTATAAATCTTCATTGTCATCATGATTAGTCATGATTAAGATTTTTTTTTAATTGTTATTTTGATCTCCAGGAACAAAAGTATGCCAGGTAAAGAAAATTAGATTGAAGTGTTCTTGGAACTTATTATTCTCTTTAAATCATTATTTTATGTTCAAACTTACTTCCTCCATGAAAACTTTTCTATTATTTCTACCCTCACAGAACTCAACTTTTTCCAAATTATTTCAGAAATTACAATTGACTTCTCAACTTTAACCTCATTATTCTATGAGTGTTTTAGCCTCAGTCTGCTCTTCTGATAAAATAATAGCCTGAAACAGAAAAAAAAAAATCTTGACAGATTTCTGTATCTATCTCACTACACGAGAGGAGGTAGGTAGACAAAACATCCAGAAATTCTGGTTCCTGGTTACACAGAAGAAATAATTTTGGTCAACAACAAAAATTCTCATATTCTATATTATAAATTCTGTAGACTTTAAAAATACATAACAATATGGTAATCACCAGAAGGGAGGGGAGTTGAGGAGGTTGGAGAGGGTAAAAGGGGATAAATAGTGATGGAAAGAGTCTTGACTTGGGGTGGTAAACACACAATATAATATACAGATGATGTATGTAGAACTGTATACCTGAAACCTGTATAATTTTATTGACCAATGTCACCCCAATCAATTTAATAATCCTATACAATAAAAGTCAATATGCAAATCAACTGAACAGCTAAACTACTGGTGAAAAGACTGGTCACTATGACAGGTACTAACCACCAGGGGGCAGACACTTAACACAGAGGCTGCTCCCAGCCCACAGGCTCCAGGCCAGACAAGGCAGGTTTGAGTGGGCCCCCCCCCCCCGCAATTGCCCTGCCCATTGCCCCACAGAGGGAGGCAACTGGTGATGGCAGTGGGGTGATTTGGGAGGGAGGGTAGGGCCAGCCAGTGAGCAGGCCAGTGCCGCCCCCACCATCATCCCACCGGTTGCCTCCCACAGAGGGAGATAACCAGAACCCATGGCAGAAGGTGGGGCTGGCTAGTGGATGGCACCAGGTCAGCCAATGCAGGTGCCAGT